ATAATATATAAAGGAACTTCATGAAATAGTGCAAATTATTGTCCTTACAAAATACAAATAAATAATGTCAGTTATGCAATTATTCTAACAATGTGACATGAAAGAAAGTCATAACATTGAATAAGAATCGTTAATTACAGATAAAATCATCAACTATGTTCTCTTTATCAAAATAGAGTGTCTAAGAGAAGGTATGGATTGTCTATGGTTTTAGTAAGATGGAGAATATGCATTTGTACATGTCAGGTTATAAGTCGCAACCTAATTATTTTGAATAGCTAACTCAGCCTAGCCTCACCTTGCAACCATCAAAGCTACTTGCATTTACTTCCACCTGTAGTAGTAGCCTAGTACTCTATGTTGAAATACTAGCACGCAAAATAAATGAGGTGCCATGAACTAATTGTGTATCCACCAAAATCCACCGTACTACATTGGTCGGAGCAGGGTCATAAAAATATTGTTCATTGTATGCTTTAGTACATGTATTAAAATATGATCGCCCAGTTTAAAATCTTGTAACGCTTCATCAAACGTCTTGCATTTAGTAGTATTATCTATGTAATCAATACACACATGCAAAGTGTACATAATACCTTTAAATGAGATGAATTGTATTATTAGATGATTTACATATGCATGTCATTTACACCTGTATGGATATTATCATCACCTGCATATTTCATGACATTAATTACATACCACATTAAAATCAAAGATTTAGATAAACTTCTAAAAGATTGTATGACAAATAAACACTATATTAAATTTATCAATTTACACAAATTAAAGGAAAATACATTTTTAATACACATTGTCAGAAATTCATTAAATTCTATCTTTGATAATTATCAAGGAAAATACTTCTTCAATACGCTCCAAAAAAAAACGCCTCACTCTGAACGGCATACCTTAGTCATGTAGAACATTTGTCAACGATACCTGCCACGGCGATCATCAACTACCCAACATTAATGCTTTGTCATTAACTGAATGTAGGACAACTCTTTTTTCATCAATCCAGTGCGAATTTATTCAAATTCTTGCCTATTCATAACAAGTGTTTCATACTATCGTTTCTTTCACTTCTTCCTTGCATCATTCGTCAATAATCCAAAGTATATTAACACCGGAAGCTCCTAGATTCACCCGTCTGGAATTAAAAAGGAAGAAAGTAATTATAGATTTGCTAAACGTATAAGGAAATGAAAATGAAATTGAATGTTTAAAAAAAGTACAGTAACGTGTGTCATGTAATGCCAGGTAATATGAAACTAAAATTACCAATAACCACGGTCAATACTCTGTTCCATCTATAATGAATTCATAGTAAGATTTTCTTGTTGTGGATTTAACCAGGTTTCTACACTTATTGTAAGTTTCCCATTTACAACTGTCATTTTATACATTCGCAATCTTATATAAACGCCTTTTCTTTCGTGTAAGCTTCTTATCCAAATATAAGTTTCCAATCTTCAACCTCATTAAAATTAATATTAGACGTTATAATTTAAGTGATTTCAAATTTATTCATAATTTTGCCAGGACTGATTGTTTCAAAAACTCTATTTGTAATTATTTTCCCCGTCTTTGGAATGATTTGCCGACTAATGTGTGTGATAAACTTATTTACAATTTTGAATATTTTTATAAAGCATTGAAAGATTATTTTAAGGGCTGATTTTGATATTTATATTCATATACATTTATATATTTTGTGTCTGTTTGTCTGTTTTTTTGTAATCCACTTGACAGTTGATTTAGTTCTCTTTTTGGATTTCCTGTCTCTACGTCTTTTTTGTGTATGATATTTTATGTGAATTGTATTTTTTGAGACGAATAAATGAAATGAAATGAAATAATATATTCATTAATCTATCCACCACTCGGCAGTTCCGTGGCAAAACAACATAACTTGAAATTTTCACTTTTTCGAGATAAATAGGGTTGAAGTTTTAATGTTTGTATTTTGGTAATAAATTCTTGTACCCATCTGTATCTATAGACATATGATTGTATGTAAATTGAGATTACAAATTTTGGTTTATTGCAAAGTGAATTAACGATATTCACAGATATGTTGTTTTACCTCAAAAAAAAAATATCAGGCACGGTATTGTCGCAAGTTTGACATGTGCATATGCCATCGTTTAGATTATTGATATGGAAACACCATCAACCAGTTGATTTTGCTGTGCCAAGCTCCATCTGCTCAAAACAATTTTTGAATGCCATTTCTAGGCAAGTTGATTGGCTGAGCGGTTAAGAGAGGGGAACCGTGAAATACAGCCATAATATTGGCACTGGTTTGAATGGTACACTCGCCTATGGTTCCAGGGGTGGAAAATTTGTTGGATAATTTGGGACCTGTTTCTACAGCAAAAAATTACAAAATTGCTGCTTTCTGATAATTTATCGGATAATAAGTGCTGCGAAAACACGGCCTTCTAAGACTCAGAGTGCTTTTCCACATTATTACCACAGTCATTGGAACAATGCCTATAGGGGAAATTCCATACTTTACTGCATGCAATATATCAGCACATTTCTGCACTTGAACCTCTTCAGGTGCCCACTTACACTCCTGGGTGCAAAGAAGCAATGCAGATAAAGTGTCTTCACACAAGCAAAATGCACAGTGATTTGAGGTTCGGAAAACAAACCGTTCTTGCTGCCCCAAAGCACTTCTATTTATTTATATGTTTGGAAAGTATTAAACAATGTTCTACTTACCCTAGCATACCATGCTCCTTAGTCTTAATGTGATGAAGGAACAACAGAATGCATTGGAACATATTACTTCTTCCCTGCAACATACATAATAACAAAGTTCAAGGTTTAAGGTTCAAGAAAACATTTGTTCATTTGTTTCCTTACTCACTATTATTATTTTGATGTACCGTAAATCCTCAAAAAAGCGGCACAGCGCTTATAAGATTTTTGGAGGATTCTGTGCGGCGCTTATTCGAGAGCTGCGCTTATTAAAAAAAACTATTGGTGTGTGGCGCTTTTATTCTTATTAATTGGAACACTGTATACATTGTATTTAAAACCGTGTTTCTCAAAGTTTTTCATTACATGCAGGGATATTCTCTCGATTAAGTGTAGTAGCGCTTATTTGGGAGCACCACTTAGTGGGCTCATTTATACATGTTTTTTTCATTTATACATGTTTTTACATATATACATGTTTTCTTTTTACAAATATTACTTATTAAATGCTTTTCTTGTGAGTTATTAATATGGTAAGATAATGGTAGCCGAACCTGTACTGGTTTGGAGTGCCCATCTCTCTTTCTTAAGCATTGGGGCCAGACTGTGCAATGCTTTGAGGGGGATCGCTACTCCTCCTCATAACAAGTTTGTTCACCTTTCCAGCATATGCCAGTACCCATTATACTCAGTGTTGTAGATGTACAAAACTAAGGGTGGGTGATAAGACATTTTAAGGGTGGGTAGGTAATAACATTAAAAAACTCAAAATGATAAGAGTATATTTTTAAGGATGGAAAAGTGGGTTAATAAGGGTGGGTGAAGGGCCATGAAATTAGCTTTAGACTGGGTGGACTGCCCACCATAACTACATCCCTGCTAGCTAGAGAGACAAATGCAGATAAAGTGTCTTGCCCAAGAACACATACAACCCACACAGTGAGACCCTTCAAACCCTCGAACACGAGGTTGAGAGTCTGAGCCAAACACTTCAATGTGCCAAACGCTTTCCTCGTACAAAAGACACAAAGACAAACACAATCAAACAAATGGATTTAAGCATCTAAAGAGCCATAAAATTATACTTGTAGAGATTTATCAACATTCTTAAATAAAAAACAAGATAAATACAACATTTTTCTTTACCTTAGGCAAGTCCCAAGTGTCATCTCCGATAATTAGCTTATAATGTGGTGGATTAATTTTTGATTGATACAGGAAAAGGTTGTCCTTTTTCTTCAAATCTGAAAACAAAATTTGAATGCTATGTAAAAACTTCCCAAAATATATGAAGTATAGTGCAATGGCAGATTAAACCTCCCCCACCCCTCAATTTTTCTAAATTATGAAAAAATGGTTAAAAAAAAAAGAAAATTTATGTCTCAGAATGCCATTTCCAACAGTGACTGAATTCGGGCTAGACGACCCTGCCTACTGTTTCATTTTCTGGGTGGCAAAAGCGCCATGGGGGACACTGGTGCTATAGCAGTCTCCAGAATTATTATTATTATTATTTCTGGCCGTCTGGTGCCTTAATCATAAATTTTCTTACCTCTGCCCCAACCATGGTGGGGCTGATTTGGTATGGACCCTGAATCCGAATTTTCGGATTGGAAGGCCTACCAAACCGATCAGAAAATTGTATCGGTATGTTAGAATAGGAACGCTGATGCTCAGAGCTGCGGAAACACGGTCAGTTTGGTTTTGATGGGAATGCAGATTAAAAGCCAGAATAAACACTCACCAGGCTTATCAGGAGTCTTCATGAAATGCTTACTGGTGAAAATCTTGCCATCCGGGTACTTAGGGTGCGGTGGAAGACGGAAATTAAAGTAGCTACACAAAAGGTGCATCACAATCTAGTAGATAACAAATTAAATAAGTGGTTTATCAAATACATTATTTGTGTCGAGTGGCCAAGCAGTTAAAGGCAGGGGTGCCGCTGACTACAGCCTTAACATAGGAGCTGGCTCCAGCTGCTCCTCGCATAGGGTTCAGTTGGTAGAATCAAGTCTTATATGCCTATTTATGGTCATGATGTGATGTCATCATGACCATATTTAGGTATCACATGACAGGGCTTAGTATTGATGAATATTTTGGAATGCAAAGTCTTACAGCAGAGTCTGAGGGTAGATCCTGATGCCATTTTCTTCCTTTGTGAACTCCACCACTATTCCACCTGAATTCACTTATGCTACCACCAGCTCCCAACTCTGTCAAAAAACAAAAGATTAGTTTAGCACTCAAGCTTATCAAAATTGTTGTACAATATTGGAGTGGAAATGTAGCTTAGTGGTTAAGGTGCTTGCCTTCCAATACTAGGGTCCTGGGTTCAAATCCTGTGAAAGTACAAGATTTTTCTCAGTACTACAACACATCTCCACTCCCTCAGCCTCGTAATTAAGATTTTGGATAAAAACTTATCTTCATAATCAGGAAACTTGGTAAGTAAACTGGTACGCAATTTTGGAATTATAGTTAATAGTATTCTGTTTTTGGAATTATACAGTAGTTAATACTATTCTGCAATTCTAAGTGTAAATCTAATTTAAATAGAGAAAGTTTTAAAATTCCAGATCAGGCCAACAGCAGTTTCCAGCTTAAAATTAAAGAGGTGCTCCATATTAAATGAACTGAGCCATCAATCAACAAACAAGTGCAGCATTACAACATCACCCTATGCCTATAATGGAATAATCAACAAACAAACAAATAAACAAATATGGAGGCTAGGCCTTGTCGGTTCGAGCTCCTGGATGAAGAAGGACTAGCCTAGGTTAGCATGACTTCTTGATAAAGCCGATAGCAGAAACACCAAAAGAAAAATTAAATATGTCTTGTCAATATTCGACAAATATTGCAACACGATGGGTGCTGTTAAAATTGAGGAAATTAGCAAAAAAGAGCTAGACACACTCTTTAATTGCCTAGGCTAGTATGTAGGCCTCTAGGCTAAGCTAGGAAGTAAGTACTTTTTTAGGCCTTGTAGAATCTATGCATGAGGTATATAAAACAAATATTGACTGCTCTAGTTTCGAGGAACGGCAAAATCTATAGCGCCTTAGTATGTGGAGACTGTGGCCTATCTTCCCTAGGGCAGAAGGTAAGATAAGCTACGGTCTCAACATCACCTCGGGACAATAGATTTCACCGTTCCCCTCATGAGCAGTCAATATTCGTATAATATCTACTGAACATGCTACACAGAATGAAAGAAGACAAAATTTCGAACCCTGTTAACCTGACTATGGGCTGTTCCGCTAAGCCCCGCCCCCTTATATATTGTAGCTAAGGTTGTATTCTTGGACCTGTTCTGATTGGTCAGTTGTCAAGTTTGATTTACACTGCAGGAAGGTCTATTAGGGTACCTCTCACCTCTGATCCTGGCGACTAAATACTCTTGGTTGGCTGAGATGTCCAGGTAAGGCAGCACAGCATTGAGGGTAGGTAGGTGCTGGGCCTTGGTGTGTGCAACTTGCTTCAACGATGTTAGGCTCACTTCTAAGCAGGAGAAAGCAAAAAAGGAAAAGAGCTCAGTACCACGAGTGCTATACATATGGTACATGCAAACAACCCTTCCAATAACAGTAGACAAGCACTTTTTGCTATAGTAAACAGTGGCAGCTCCAGGAATTTGAAATAGAGGGGCCCAGGGAAGAACCTTCAAAGATAAGGGGTCAATACCCCCATGGTTAAGACTGAGGTAAAAAAATTTATGATAATGGCACCTCTAGATGGCTGGACATGACACTCTCAGGCTTTAATTTGAACGTAAATTTCATTTTTCCTCCATTTTTAGTTTACAATTTTTTTAAATTTAGGGGGTCTGGGCCAGATTAATCCTTGAATCTTTGAAAGGCAAAGAAAAAAAAAAAACAATTTTTTTATTTTTTTTTATTTATATATTTTTATTTGTTACCTACATTAATAATATTTAAGCTTTATATACAGGCTAAAAACCCACATAAAGATATCTACTATTGAAGTTGAAAGAAAGAAGCATGTTTAATTACAGAGCTGGAAGGATATGAGAGACAGAAAAGAATTTATTTGCTATTTATTACTTCGTATTTACATAGCGCCTTTCCTTTAGGTTACGAAGCGCTTCCATTGTCATTGGGTGCACAAGCTTAGGTCTGCCATATTGGCACAGCAGGATGCAATCTCACTAGGTAGGCATTTATACTCCTGAGTGGAGAGAAGCAACACAGATAAGTGCTTTGCTCAGGGAAATAAGCGAAGTGTACAGCAAAGGATTGACAACCCAACCTCGATGTTAGGAAACCAAACCGTTACCTCTGCGCCAAACTATTAAAGTGGCCTCGATGTCCACTGTGAGGACATGCAAGTGGTGATGTTAAAAATATAACACCATGAGGCTCACCATATACCATTTCTTTTCTTTTTTTTTAATTTCTTTATTACAAAACCAAAAACATATATATACCTCCAATCTTTAACTCTGGTGTGCCAAGCTGAGTCAGTCTTTCATTAATAACGCTAATCTCTTTAACAAGCGGTTTCAATATCGCCTGAAATATCCACTGAAAAAAAGTATAAGTGCATTCCATTACTTTAGCAACTTAAGCCAAGGCCAGTCGATATTATCTTAGGAAACTGAAGATAGATACATTATGATGAAATGGCTTTGGAATCAAAACTTTATCAATAAGTACCATACAAAAAAATGTTTGGTGGTTTCTTGTTTCTTGAAGTTGCAACATCAGCTTTAGTTTAATGAACCCTTCTGTAGTTTCATGTGTGCATGTCTATGTCAAAGGTTAAGCATACAAGCAAACAGTCTGCTTTTCCACATCTTTTTTTTAAACAACATTTTATTCTATATTATGTAATTACCATCTTGCATTCTGTCAAGATTAAAACCAATCAGACTTACCGAACTTATTTATCGTGGTAACAAAATATTTAATACCTATGACAACAGGGGCAACAATAATAGGAATACAGGTGAAAAAAAAATAGCCTACACAGATCTTCACTCCTGGATTGGATAGGATTTATTCGGTGTAAACACCAAGGATAACCCACAAAAGCCTGAAGAAGACTTATTTCCAGCGGGATGATTGGGCAGTACACCGGGAGACATTCCCCTACTCTTTTTTCATGCACATGGGCCATAATGCACACGGGACCAACGGCTTAAACGTCTCATCCGAAAGACGGTGCGCCATCATTAACTTCGGTCCTCTAGTTGAAATACAAGGAGAGCAGCAATGGGAATAGAACCGGTGACCAAGAGATCTCCACGGTTCAGCGAACACACAGTGGCTACCACCAGTTTAGCCGACTGATAACATGTGTTTCTCAAAGTATATTAATGACGATAAAATGTTAGTGACACACTACAAGCTAGCTGATGGTTAATGATTTCTATCAAGTTGTGACCCACCAAAATATTTTGGCGACCCACTGGTGGGTCACAACCCACAGTTGACAGAACGTTGATCTAACCTTCCTTAAGTTGGCAGTCCATTCCTCAACCATATCCTTAGATACATGCACTTTCGACCACACTTCATTGGCAGCAAATGTAGCAGGAAAATCGGGGTCATCATCATCGTCGTTACGGGAAGACGAGGACTGGGGTGAACGACTGGCTAATTGATATTGATATTTACGCAACACAGGAGTGAAGTCTGCAGCAGTGCGATTGTATGTCCAAAATGACGGGCTACCACTTGGTGAAAGTTCAGAACTGCCTGTAATTTAAAATCATTAAATTTTAAAAGAAAAATTTATTCTTTCCATCCACCTTGAATAATCCCAATATTATGTATTAGAACTCACTCTCGATGTTATTTTCCTATCTATAAATTTTGTTGGGCCTTGGGTTGGAAATTTTTTCATGCATTATTCTAACCTTTGTATAATAAATTCCACTAGTGTATTACATGTAATACTATACTAATTGCTTATTATTGTATTAATATTTTTTTTCTGTTTTTTTAAATGTCTCCTTGAATGTATATGCATCATGTATGCATTTTAGCTTAAAATTTATAAAATTATTTAATTGTAAATAGTAATAATGTGCCTTTTACGCTTTCTTTTAATAGTTTATTTTCATGATTAAATTTTAAATACTATGTTTAGATCTATTTTGTATGTTATATTGTTAGATGTAATTTCAGGAACCTTGATAGAATTTAGAAATACTGGAATGGTGTCCGGTGCAAGATAGTTTATACCTGTTAATTGTTATTTATTTACTGTTTATTATTATTATTATTATATTCTTGTTTATTCATAAACAGCTGACCCTTTCAATGTTATTTCTGAAAATATTCTACTTAAAAAAAGTACAAAAAAGATAAATATTTTAAAATTATATTCAACAATAGTGGAAATATGTTCCTTACTTAGTTGGTTTCTCCTCTCCTTTTCTTCATAAGCCTTCAGGTATGACTGGAGCGATGCAGCATCAGTAATGACCTCATCTGACCCCATTGCAACTGGAGAAGAAAAAAAAAATTATTCAATGCACAGTTATGTTGTCTGTGTCTGTGTATTTATGTTTAATACAGTATGTAAATTATCTACTTTTAATTTTTTAGAAAGCATCCAATTGAAAATGAGATAAAATTTTGCACCAATTAAACAGACACATATCATATAAAACTTAAATTACTTGTATACCCTTAAAATTGTTAATATTTTGTTAATATTCAATTCTAAAATGTCCTCAATAAAAGTCTGTACATCAACTAGAATAGAATTATGAATGAAAAAATTAATAAATAAATGAATGCATGAATATATGAAATAACTAGAGCAGTCACTCTATAGTGTGCATACTTCCGCCCTGTTCCTGAATAACAATACGCAGTCCGCGTATGACGTGCAAAACGTTCATAATACCTTTAATGAAATAACAAAAGAGCAACATTCAACGTTAATTTCTGAGGTTTACAGTTATGTACATGGTTTTCTTGACTGCTGCTTGAATACGAAGGGCGATATTATTATTTTTCTTTTAAGCAAATTAGTGTATTTTCCGCATTCCCTTTGTGGTTTTATATGGAACACCAAACAAGCAACATTCAATGTTAATTTCTGCGGTTTTATATGAACACCAAAAAAGCGAGTGCACCCTCTAAATGACTGAATGTATGATGAATGAATACATAAATGTATGTATGAGACTAAATTCAATTAATATATTAAGCATTAAGTGAATAACATTGGATACCCCATACATGTGTAAAGTATTTGTCATCATAATAGGTTTGTCTGTTAGTGTCCATGGAAGCATCATTCATAGACTATTAAGGCTTCTTGGATTCACAACCACGCAAAGCAAGGTGTTGGCTCGGTATTTTAGTATTAGTTTAGCCATTGGGTCCAATTTTGTATTTTGTATTTTGTTTTGTAAGAGATGTAAAAAATGCCCTTATTGTGTAAAATGACATTTATCTCACTAAGTGCGTTCCCTCAAATTTTGTATGATTATTGAACTATTTAATAATAATCCAATGATCGGGGGTAATACGTGAAACGCTTAGAGGCCTTGTAGAAGTTTAGTGCTTTAATGTATAAACATATCATTATTATTTATTATTGTATATTTTACTGCTATTGTGATCAATATGTTGTATTACAAACCGTGGGTCAAGTTTTTTTAAGTAAAAGATATTTATGAATCTTAAATGATGAATGTATGAATGAATGACAGAAAAAAATGATAAAAGAATGCATGCATAAATAAATGACAGATGATTAAAACAAGTTAATGAATGAATCAACTTACCTGGGGATCCAGGTAGTGGGGTGGACTGGTGTCTTGCTTTTAGGTATGATGCACTTGACTCTCTGTAGATGGGGGAGTAGTTTGACACGGGTGTGTGGGGGCTACCTGACGGAGGCTGAATCAAGTAAAAAACAAATAAAACAATGTTTAATTGATGTTGACCCAGTGACTGTGAACTTGGTTGCCATGGAAACAGGTGTTTTACACTATAGACGGGTCTCGCTGCCTTTAATGGGCGCAGACCGACGTGATTTTATGGACTATAACTCTATGGCTTATGCTAACAATACTACAGAAATGTAATCAGAATTACCCTAGAAAATGTTGAATAACTAGTGGGTCTAGTTGGAGAATAACTTGTTACAAATGAGTTGGAAAATACATTTGGTGACACAAACGAGTTACTGCCTTCCATTACGGAGTGCCGTGAGTGAAAACTTGCTCCGTCATTGTTGGATGTATTTATGTATGATGTACTTGGACTGGCTCGACGGTATGATGATGACGACGTATTTGTGGGATCTGAGTGGACACGAGAGCGGGTTGGTGTTGTCTTGAAGCCAAATGCTGAAACAAAAACACAAGTGTTTTTTGTCAGTTACACCTCTGTTTATGGATGTTAACAGATACAGTGTAATGAGCTTTTCCCAAGTGTCAATCCAATTGACCGATCAGAATAGATTAAATATACATTTATCTTAATCTATTTTATCCAGAAACAACTGTAATTAATTTAAATCAAATCATTTTTATTGCAACTTTTTAGGAGTTGGATCTACATTTTTACAAATATACTGTATACAATACATACACTTAAAGCAGAAATATAAAAAAATCAAAAATCAATCACAAAAAAACTAAAAAACATTGCTAGGGTAAGAAAGACAAGTTAATTATTGTCTAAATTATTGTAAAACTATAATTAAACATCAAAATTATTGTTAGGTCATAAACATAGAGCATTAAACGATCAATCAAATTATTAGCAACATCAAATGATAGGCTGACTTTAAGGAGTGGAATAAAATACTGTCATCCACTGGATGTACTTCTCCAAACATGAAGAAGGCTGAACCGCTAAACCCAGCACAAATCTCAGAAAAAAAAAAAAAAAAAAACACCCTGCAATCCTCTGACAATAGCGAATCAGTGCCTCCAGCTATTACAGGTAATGTGACATATTGTGGGTACTAAAAATTTAAACAGACCACATCATAAACCACAGTGCGCTTAGTTTGAACATGTATATTGAGAGAGTTATCATGTTTTTTAGACAGCGCCCTAAAGTAAAGTAAGGCAGTAGGCCTATGTTTTTTTAAATAGTGATTATAATTACTTTGGCAAATCTCGAGTCCAAGCATTTTATTTAGGCTCTGGAATGCTGCTTGTGTAGGCTGCATACAATGTTAGGCCTAGGCTGTACTGTTGACCAAGGAGGAAGTTTTTAAGCCTTGAACTTGGCCTGGTGATAATAGGCCTAGGCCTGGTTGGTATGGTACAATAATACCCTAATACCAGTTCATACTGTAATAGTAAGATAATATTTGTTGTTTATAATGTCATGATGATGATTATCCTTGGCAGTAGCTACTAAAACATCCTATAATTTAATTTTTGATTTAAAATAATTGTAAAATAATACTCTTGCAACGAATGGGGAGATTCATTTATTTTTTTCATGCTGCGATGGCATTTGCCATGAATAATATATTCTTGACTTAGGTCTAAAAGTATCTCAGCCAGCGATGACTCAACTGGAGCAACATGCACATCGTGAAAATACCGTACCTTTCCTCGAAAAACTTCCAGGCTTTATTCTCACTATCCAATTGAGCCTTACCAAACCAATCTGATAGTGATAGTGTTTGAAAATTTAATTTTGAAAACACTAATAAGTGATTTACCAAATTGTAAATCGCGTTCCAACCAACATCTATGATTTGCCTATACAAGGCGAAGACATATTCAATGCACTGTCGTTTTGCAATCTCGATAAATTGTAAACAAACCCTAATACCCACTATAAGTCATGTGACTCCAACCACCGATTCGGTCTATTGTATACAGTAATGATAATGGTAATACTGTAAAGAAAAATCTTGAAGATTTAACATAAATCACTTTAATTCCACTTTATGTTGCCGATTCTTACAGTACACCTCCACCAGGAAGGCCAGGCACATTTGGCAATTTACACAAATGCAACTTCTTCCACTGTGATAGAAGGCCTGACCAAGTATTATGACAGACCTTCGGAGATCTAAATTTGCACTCGGCATGCGAGCAATACCAAAGTACAACACAATAGTGGTCGGCTGAAGTGATTTTATGAAGAATGCAATGGCCCAAGAAAGGCGCAATGGATCGTTTCATTTTTTAATAACAATCTATTTAGACTGCCACTGACAATCAGCAAACATTCAGCGCTGAACAACAGTGGCGTATGTAAAAGTCTTAAAATAAGGGGGGCGCGATGGGAGAGCGCAAAGGCCACGTGGGGGATCTAGATGATTAGGTCAGGGGCGCTAACTTGTAAAATAAAGTAATTTTAGGTGATTTTTAACAACTTGAACATAATTTTGGGGGGGGGGGCATCGTGTTGTTTGTGGGGGGGGGGAAGTATTTTTTTGGAGGTGCGTATGCCTTCTGCACACCCTTAGATACACAGAGTAACATCAAAATAATATACTGGCCTCTTAGATTTCAATGCTGCAAGGCAGAATTACTGATGCATTTACCTTTATCTTTAACGCCAAAGATTTTTCTCTCCTCAGGGGTGAGCTCAACAGGATTGCGGGTTGCATCGACAGTAAATAAGATGTAGCGAATAAAGTCAATTGCCATGTTGAATATAAAAACTGTTGCTAGGAAACATTCACAGTACCATATCATGGGATGTTCAAACTGTAGCAATTGAGATATATATTGACTTTTTCTGGTGTAAAAAAAAAAAAACATTTGCCAGTACGTAATTTATTTCACTTATTTTATCCTGGTATCTTTATTCAAAAAAATATAAATATATATAAAATCCATAAAAATCATTCAGTTGCAGCAAAAGCTGAATTGCAGAAACAATTTTACAGACCTGCCAACCCCTGGGCCATGAAAATCTGGAGATTTTTTTTTAAATCTAAAAAAAACTGGAGATTTACCAAAAAATCTGGAGGTTTCCAGAATTAACCAGAAGATGATGCAATTTACTAAAAAAGACACATCAAGACAAATCATAGTGGTATAAAATCAATGGTACAGGATTACTGCAAAACAACTTATTAAATTGCTGCTTGTCTATCGTGGTGAATACATTGAATAATAACGATCTAATCAATCATTAAATATGCATAAATAGGAGTATTTTGCGGAGGGAACCTGTAAAATCAGTGAAATCGGGTGAAAATTTAAAAAATCGGGAGAACTGGAGATTTGTTTAGATATTGGGTGAGTTGGTAGGTCTGATATTATAAAACAATAAACCAAAAACAAAACTACACAGAGAATTTACAAATAAACATTAAATTACATTTTAAAAAAAATTAAGAATTATTCAATTACTTAAAGTTATTACATACAAACAAATTTGTTTAAAAAATTCGAAGATTCAATGTTCAAAGATTCAAAAAGTTGGTTGACAATTAAAAATTAAAATTGGAAAGGACCAGAATACTGAGCAAGGAAGCACAGTGTGCCAAAGAAAAAATGTAATTATTGAAGCTCAAGTAAATTGGTAAGATAGGGGAGAGGACTACTCTTAATTAGATTTGTTTTACAATTAAAATGTTTAAATTTATTTGATTTCCTCAAAGTCATTGTTGTGGTATTATTAGACGTAGGAAAAAACTTGCTAAAACGAACAGAATTAAAAGCATCTTTGGCAAAATCAGTACACAATGCATCCCTGCGAGCAGAGAGTGTCTCTAGACCAAGCTCTCCAAGCAGATTCATAAGTAGTAAAACTCTTCCCAAGAATACCAATTTAATACAATAACACAAAAGTCCCTTTGTTTTTTTAAAATTATATTTTATGAAAATATTCTACAAAAAAAAATCAGATTTCCTGTCTACAGTTGAAACTACATAAAAATAACATACAAACCTATTTTTTGTATATGTAGTTTAAAAAAAACATGTATTTTAAACAATGTTTGAAAATCAAAAAAAAAAAAAAAAGAAAAGAGAAATTGAGGAGCCTTTTTTGGACCCATAATAATAATAATTAATAATAATTAATTTTATGAAATGAATTTCTTTTGTATTCTGATAACAGTGGCGGATCCAGATTTTAAAAAAAAGGGGGAGGGGGAGGGGGCCACCTAGGGAAGGACTAATAAATTGAGGATCTTAAAACTCACATCAACGTCATCATGATTACACTATGGCACCTAAAGATGTCAAGAAATGGCAATCTCATACTTAGGATTAGAAATACTTTTCTCCATTTTTTTATTTAAAAAATTTAAGAGGAGTGGGAGCCCAACCCTTTAAACCCCACATCATAATTGCATAAATGATATTTTCACAGCAGTGTTGATTTTGTGTCAGTCAGCATTTTTTCTTTAATTACAAAAAGGTAATAAAAGATGTTAAACTAACATTTCAAAATAGAATAAAATGGCTGCCAGAAGGTTGATAAATGCGAAGATGAGCGCTCGCTGTGACAGGTGATAATTCCGTTGTTGATTGATTGACAGATTAAGCTTAGACGATTCCTCTGTATTGCCAAATTTAATTTCTCCCATCCTGAAAAATATATATATAAAAAAAATAATACAGTATTAGTTCTAACTGTTTTATATTTTTCTCTGAAAATTAATAAACTATGGATATTGTTCTGACAACCAATACGTAAATCCGAATGTGTTGATTGGTGGAGCAGGCTGGACCATAACATTAAACTTCAGTCTTGCTATCTTTTAATGCACTACAGCCTGTTACAAGAATATAGTTATTTGCAAAAGCAAGCAAAATGTCCCCAATTAAGCGAGTTCGGTGGGAATCAAACCACAACCTCCACACAACTAGCTTAGGCCTAGTCCAATATTAATATAACAACAGAACAACAAGTGGTCATAAACAACTAGTGGTTAATTTGGATACTGCCAAAATACGGTACTTGGAAAGATGTTTTCATCAAGGTTTCAGCAAAGCAAAGTGGATTCACCAATCGAATACAGAATAACTCATCTAACTCGTCCACAACTTGTCCCCAAATCTTAGCAAGCCTGTACCCATCACTGGCTAGCCTGCAACCAAGTTTTGTGTAAAATTTATGTTTTGTTTTACAGTCTCAGGTCTCGCAGAATTATGAAATTTTTGGTTGCAGTTCGGGCAAGCCAGGTCTCAGATTTGGTTTCCCTCACATTTTTTAACTTGCCCCCTATATTTTTTTCGCAATTGACACAATGCTACAGTATTATAGAGGTACCTGCCTCGTATGACGCATAGCCTATTAAAGAGTAGTACAATCAGGCCCAAAACCAAATGGTTATTCGCACGGCAGGCAGTGCAAACAACTTCAAAACAGTTATTCACAAGGCAAGGTAGCCAATCACAAGCAAGGTATGCATATTTTTAAACAAGTATTTAAACAGTATTTAAATTATAATTTTACCGTTCTTACTAACTAAATGTAATTAAATTTCCTACAGTAGTAGCCTATGTATTTCAATTAAATATTTCAAATAAAATAATTAAATGACTGTGATAATGAGCTAAGTATTCGTTTCACGCTCTTGCATCATAATCACAACGTCGAGCGAGACTGTTTATTCCAAGTTCTGCATCCATACTTCGTAGACACATGCACAGCATGCCCATGTTGTTTTGTTAGTGATAAGGCTACATGGGAAAATATGTTGTATGATATATTTTTGTATTTTTTACATCTCCCTGGTCTCACTTTTTTCGAAAAAAAAAAAAAAAAAAATACACGCATATGATTATTCGTTGTTTACTTCTTGCTTCATAGCGTAGAGTACTTTGTAGAGTGGATCATGTGCACTCTCCAAACGTGGTCTTCCTGTATGTTCTTCAATCGGGGCTCGATGCTCGACCCAACTAAAGACTATAATGATGTTGTTTTTGTTAGTGACGATTTAGGTAAATGTGTTTGAATGAAAACATTAAGATGTAATTTAGTTTGTGATGATTGACTATCGTATAACACAACAGGTAGGCAATATCGTCTTGATTTTGTGGTAATTGAGTTTTAGCAAAGGAAATCTCGCGTAGGCCTAGGCCTTGTATTTAGGTCAAGTGTGTTTTTTCAACAAATGATTGAGTAAAATGAACATAACATTTCCAGCTCATATCACTTTTATTTGAAAAGTTAATACAATGATTTAATAATTTATTTAGTGATTAAACTACATACTGTGCTATTGTAGAAAATTAAATTAATTAATTAATTATAAATTAATTAGTGCTGTGGTGAACCTAGGGGGATCACCGCGGCTTAGGAGGCCACGCTAATGTCGAGTGCTGAAAATACAAGTTTATTAAAGTATGACTGCGCATGCGTTATTATTTAACGTAAATATATCGTTTACTGATTTGTTTACAGCAACGTGAATATATCCACTTCCTAGGGTTAAAGTTAAGTATGTGAAGATGCACGCGCGATCGCGTCTGTTTTTTCTGCCAGATTACTGTTCCGCATTTGCTTCATGCTCCCTGGGGACATCCCCATAAATTTACATTCTGATTGGCTGTCGTTAGGGAAATGCCCTGGATACTGCTATGCTAAATCTATGATGATGTAGTGGAAAAGCCACTCTTCATCCACCTTTTTTTTTCTGGATCGGACAAAGATATCATCTGCGCTAGAAAGTTTTAAGATTTCGCATGTTTTGATGGAACAAATATCACTCTAAGACTAAGGTCAAATCCTACGTTATTGAAAGGCAAGTCTACATATTGTTTATTATTTTGTCTTTAAAATCCCGAAGTTTCATCGTATTTTATGGCTCGGAAAAAAATTGACCGACCCTGTCAAGGTCGTGTCAGAGGCATTAGCGTAAACGCAGGCCGAAAACCATAAAAAGGTCGCGTTTTCGGTCCCAAAATTTTAATCAATTACATACATGTAATAAAAATGACGCTAATTCACGATTTCAAATGCTTGTAGTAATTTCCTTTAAGATATCTAAATAATTTTGGTGTCACTGTGTAGGATTTTTCAAGCTCTTTCCAGTGGTACTAATTGAATTGGTATTGGTTCACCTTGAATTTTTTCTTCACATACCTATTATTAAAAGTGCATTAGAGCCGACACATGTTTCATACTCGCGATCGAAACTGTCCTACAATTTGTCTAGGGGTGGGGGGAGGGGAGGCGGCAGCTAAACACTCCGCCTAGGCCTACAGTAGCCTGGCCTAGGGCCAGGCCAGGCCTAGCACAGCATAGTCTACCTCCCTAGGCCCTACATACATCATTGGCAACCTTGCTTCAGACATATTATTATCAGGGAGATGTTATTATCATCCTCGCAAAAGTCTAGCCTAAGTAAGGACGGATTATACTGCACCGTCTTATAAAAGGTCATTCTTACCTATTGAGTATTTACCCTTTTCAACTATCAATTTCGACACACAGAAGCAAAACTGTTTCAAAAAGTATAATAAAAACTACAAATTCACAAGAAAAATAAAACATTCGGAAAATTTGGGACATTTCTTGCATGTCGTTCGGTCGAGTCGCGCGCCGCCAGTTTGATTTTTGCCAGAGAGGCCTAATAATAATACACGATCCAGATAATCCACTTACCAGTCTTTAAGTGTATGAAAAAAATTTTTTAAATATGAAAAAAATTTTATTTGGTTTATAAGAAGTTGTTTAGAGTGATTAAATATGATTTGTTTAAGAATGTTTGAAGAAATTTAAAGAATAATCTGATATTTTCTGGAAACAAAAGTTCAAAGCTTAAATTATACATCGAATCATAGGCCATGGGGTGAAGCTCAAAAGACGTCTAGAAAACGAATTCCGTTCCGATTTTTTCTTTATAAAAAATTTAGGCCTACAATAGTTAAGTAATATGTCTTGAATCAAATATAAAAAGTTCGACAAAAATATCTTCTGCAATTTTAAGAAAATTACCGTTTTATTACGTTCCTAGGCTGCTGGTCGTCGGAAAACACACCGCGATACAGCGGTGTAGAAGCACGTCGCGATCATACCATGAGCTGTCCACTTGCGTCATCTCGCATAAAATCGCGTCATTTTAGGTCAAATCGTGTCAAGTAATGTCGGATTGCGTCAGTACACGTCAATTCGCGTCAACTTACAGTATAATTAGTAATGAGAAATTTCAACAAAAAAACTTATTTTATTATTTTAATTGCAATTATTTGATATTCTTTTCAAAACAATAATTGTGTAACAATTTAAAGAAAATGTATTAGTATTTTGACTTCTTTTGACTCCTGTGGTCTTCCTTTTGACAATCTGTCTGCATGTTCCCTGTATGTGTACTAAAGTACACACTTCATTCTTACAGTATTTTTGCATTCATATTCCTTTTTTAAAATTATTGTATTTATTTTACTTTCAAATTGTAATAAAGGATTAAATGTGGGGAAATTTAAACTTGATGCATTGTTATGATGTGCATGGATGTATATTTTTTTTGTATACTACGGTTGACCCATGTTGGGACACATTTTATTAAATAGAAATTGAAATTTAATACGTAATATGAAAAATTCATATTTATTTCTCAAATATTCTGAGAGTTTATACAATATATAACTCTATATTTATGTACTGTACACGTGTTATACATCTTAATAAAAGCTTCTTGCGCTCTAGTGAGTCTGTTACTTTAAAAATTTTCTATATAATACTTAATAAATAAATACAGTGAAGCGTTTCGCAGTCCTTTGTCGTTGTGAGATTATTCTCATGGTTCTAAAGTTTGCAAGGGTTACACCGTTACATTATACGGTACTTTTTTAACTTTTGTACATCATACATAATAAATAAAATAGATAATGCTTTACATACTCCTGTGTCATTGTGTGTTTAGTCTCATGGTTCTAAGTTCTTACATTCTCATGGGTTACACCATTACATTATAATTTAAAAAAATTTTCTATAATATATCTGTACAAAATGAATAAAAATAGATAATGCTTTACGTACTCCTGTGTCAC